ACACGGTGCGAACTATTCAAACACATGACATGGCACCAGCCTTGCGCCGGTATCTGTATTGTGTGATCGGACGATAGGAAGAGCGTTGCACAAGATGGACAAAAATCTGACGTTAGATGTATAACATTTAGGTTTACTAATGCACACATGGAGTAGTATACTGTATAGGTTAACGCGTATGTTGAAAATGATATTTTTTGTGAACTACTTCTATAGTACTCCCTCCGTAAACTAATATAAGAGCGTTTAGAATACTAAAATAGTGATCTAAATGCTCTTATATTAGTTTACAGAGGGAGTACATCGCAAAAAAAAGAATTACTTCTATAGTAAAGGGCAGGTAGGTAACAGTCAACCCAGTGTGAAAAGAGAAGGAGAACACATGTGTAGTATAACCAGGTGGTACATCAGAAGTACACGTTCCCAGAAATACACAACCATCTTTCTAACCACCCGTTCAATACTACTCCCTCCGTCCGGAAATACTTGTCGGAGAAATGGATAAAAATTGATGTATCTAGAACTAAAATACGTCTAGATACATCCATTTCACCGACAAGTACTTTCAGACAGAGGGAGTAGTTCTTTCCACGGTTGGGGCACTTAATTAAGCTACATGCATGGCTGTACCTGTTTGTCCTCCTCATCCTCCTCTTCTTCTTCTCCAGACATAATAATCGGAGAACTAATTAATGTAGTACTCCACACGCAAACGACTCGGAGAAAAACTACATTGATCTGTCTCCTGAATTCATGTAGAAATCGAGCCTCTCAGTTAATTGGGAGTTGGACGCCCGCGCGTGTCGGTGTGTTTCGATTTGCATGGAAATATGATGGAAATTACACATGATGAAACCTGCGATTTGAGTTCAGTGTCCAGGCATTCGTCAAGTCCATTACATTCATGACGTTTTCCATGGCAGAGCATTGATCTGTCCACAAGCTGATCAGAAACAACATTGATTAAGTTCGACGAGATTGACGGGAAAAGTTCCGACGGGTTGGTATAACAAATCTGTTATTGTCATATTCTGACGACATTTGTTCAAGGGCGCACATTGCAGGCAATAACACCATTTGAATCGAAGGTCATTATTTCAAATAAATACTATGTCTACATCGTATCGCAACTGCAACCGTACCAGCCGGACGTATATCTTCTTGATACGCGGGAGATCCAGCGAAAACGCGCTGGGTCAAGGCCTAATGACATTGGCTCTGTTTTTCTTTTGGAAATGGAGGTATACCCCCGGCCTCTGCATCATGACATTGGCTCTGTACAGTAGGAATACATGTACACGTACGCCATGTATAATTCTAAGAAAAATAAACACCACGGTATATACATGATGGATGCAACCAGATGAAATTTCCAGGATTTCCCCCCTCTGTCCGTGCGTACTACCTGTATAGATGTATATATACCCCATCCATGGGCTGACCCCAAATTATCCAAGCATCGAGCAACAAACTCTTCCAAAGCTAGCAAGCTGAAGAGAACACACGCAGACACGAAAGCCTCCAGGACTGAGCATGGCGGCGAAGGGTGAGCCAGCCTTCTCCAGATATCCAATTCGTCCATTGCATGCACATGCACGGTCGGAGTAAGCAAATCATCAACTCTGATGGTCTAATATATTCTCCATACCTACATATATATGCAGCACAAAGTGGATTTGTGCCTCCAACGCTAGGGCCTCCCGGCCAGCAGAATGATCAACCATATGCTCCGGCGGAAGCTAGCCAACAGGCACCGTCGCCTAGCACAGGTTAGTGAGTGTCGCTCATCCGATCGTTCAACATCTGAGCATACGTGATACGTGCATGCATGGATAGCTCTCCCTTTATCACATCCGCACCTTTCTGGTACTACCTTTCTATAGATTCGACGGTTGTGGTCTTTGATGCTTTCTTGCACTTTCTTGACGCCTTTTGCATGCGTTCGTGTGCTCCGTAAAGCAGGTAAAGCGTTGTCGACTGGAACAATCCCTGACCCCAGCAACGGCAACAACTCTTACGCATCAAGAACGCCATACAACGCAGATGATGGTAAAACGACCTGAGAAAAAGGTGAGTCAAGAATCCTGGCTGCATGTTTATGTATAGTTCGTACTCCTACTAGTGTTTTGCATGATGTGATGCGAAAATACTGGCGTGCATCCATTCTAATTAAGAATCTCGTTATTTGACTTTTCAGGCAAGGGCATCATCTAGGGGGTGAATGGTCTGCGTGCGGAAGAAGAATCGTGTGAATAAATATCAGTTTGTGCTACTTATCTGTCAAGTACGATATTTGTGTGGTCAAGAAACCTCTATACCTACATATGGATTGTATAGCTTCTGAAAGTGGTCGTGTATACAAGTAGTATTTCATTCGTTCATGCATGTTCTTCGTTTATATCTATACCGTAGTTATGTTGGTGAATTTGTGTAGTGGATTGTATATTTATATATACCGGAATTGTATATTGCATTCTTTTTTTTTGCATCAAGTATATTGAATTCGTTGTACTAATAGGGTATCCCTTGATCCCTTCAAAGTTGCCCTTCAAGAACTCAAAACCACTGTGCGCTTGCCCCACGGTGGGCGCCAACTGTCGTGAAATTGTCACGGCAGATGTCCTAGTGTGAGGATTTAGTCGTGAAGGTATCGCAACAAGGTTAGCTTAAAGGGGTTAAACGGGACAAAGGACACAGGGAGTTTACATTGGTTCGGCCCCTTGCGGTGAAGGTAAAGGCCTAATCCAGTTTGAGGTGGTATTGCTTATGTCTCGATTAACAGGGAGTGAATACACTTGACCTAGCTTTCGATCTGTTGTCTCTTGCCCTAAGTCGCCGCCGTGTCGTCCCTTTATATACACAGGTCGACGCGCAGCGGCTTACAGAGTCCTGACCAGCTCATAACCAACGTGTCCGGCTCGATGACTTACTGTGCCTTATAATACAAGTTACACATATACGACGGTTGAGGGAGTCCTACATTAGGGGGTCTCCGGACAGCCGGACTATATCCTTTGGCCGGACTGTTAGACTATGAAGAATTGAAGATATAAGATTGAAGACTTCGTCTCGTGTCCGGATGGGACTCTACTTGGCGTGGAAAGCAAGCTAGGCAATACGGATATGGATATCTCCTCCTTTGTAACCGACCTTGTGTAACCCTAACCCTCTCTGGTGTCTATATAAACCGGAGAGTTTTAGTCCGTAGGACACACAACAACAACGACAACATACAATCATACCATAGGCTAACTTCTAGGGTTTAGCCTCTCCGATCTCGTGATAGATCTACTCTTGTACTACCCATATCATCAATATTAATCAAGTAGGACGTAGGGTTTTACCTCCATCAAGAGGGCCCGAACCTGGATAAAACATTGTGTCCCCTGCCTCCTGTTACCATCTGGCCTAGACGCACAGTTTGGGATCCCCTACCCGAGATCCGCCGGTTTTGACACCGACATTGGTGCTTTCAATGAGAGTTCCTCTGTGTCATCGCCGTTAGGCTTGATGGCTCCTACTATCATCGATGGCGATACAGTCCAGGGTGAGACTTTTCTCCCCGGACAGATCTTCGTATTCGGCGGCTTTGCACTGCGGGCCAATTTGCTTGACCATCTGGAGCAGATTGAAAGTTACACCCCTGGCCACCAGGTCAGGTTTGGAAGCTTAAACTACACGACCGATATCCGCGGAGACTTGATCTTCGACGGATTCGAGCCTCTGCCTTGTGCTTCACGCGGTCACGATGATCGCGGTTTAGCGCTACCATCGGATAGTGTTCAAGAGATCGCACAGGCAGCCGCTCCGACCCTCAATTCGGAGCCAGGTGCGCCTTCCGCGGACGGGTGGATGGACCCCGCCACAGAGGCCTTACCCTCAGCGGTGATCGAGCCAAACATCGACCTTACCTTGCACGAGAGCCGTGTTGTTAAACTGCCGGATCCTTCTCCGGCCGCGGACTCCGAACCGCCTGCGCCCGTTCCTATCAAATCTGATTGGGCGCCGATCATGGAGTTTACCTCCATGGATATTTTTCAGCACTCGCCCTTTGGCGACATACTGAACTCATTAAGGTCTCTCTCCTTGTCAGGAGGATCCTGGCCGAACTATGTCCGGCAGGACTGGGATGCGGACGACGAAGAAATTCGAGGCCCACCCACCACCCACTTAGTAGCCACTATCGATGACTTAACCGACATGCTCGACTTCGACTCCGAAGACATCGACGGTATGGACGACGATGCAGGAGGCGAAGAGGAACCACCGCCCGCAGGGCACTGGACAGCCACCTCATCATACGTATATACATGGTGGATACACCCAAAGAAGGCAATGGCGATGATATAGCGGAGGATGACCCCTCCAAGAAGCAACCCAAGCGCCAACGTCAGCGGCGCTGTTCTAAGTCCCGCCCAGGCAAAAGTGGTGATACCGGCACAGGAGATAATAATACTCCGGATAGTGCCAAAGACAACAACAATCCCCTCCAGCAAGATTTAGAGCAGGAGAATGGAGGAGCCAGCCCTCCTGAGAGAGCGACAGATGGAGAAGAGGAGGATGATAATTACATGCCCCCCTCCGAAGACGAGGCAAGCCTCGGCCACGACGAATTCGCTGTGCCAGAGGATCCCGTCGAACAAGAGCACTTCAAATGCCGGCTTATAGCCACGACAAACAACCTTAAGAAAAAGCAGCAGCAGCTTCAAGCTGATCAGGATCTGCTAGATGACAGATGGACTGAAGTCCTCGCGGCCGAGGAATATAAACTCGAGTGCCCCTCCAAGAGTTACCCAAAGTGCAGGTTGCTACCTCGACTGGAGGAAGAAGCATATGATACGGCTGATCGGCCACCTCATGGCCGCGATAGAGAGGCATTCCAGCCAAAAACTCAGCCTCCACCCCGACGCCATTCAAATAAAAAGGCATGGGGAGATACGCCAGACCTGCGAGACATATTGGAGGACAAAGCAAAGCATGCAAGATCGATCTATGGATCACGAGGGCGCGCCACTCTAAGAGACGATAAACGTCACGCCGGATACAGCAAAAGAAAATCCAGCCAGGCCGAACACAGCGGGCAAGACCCATTCGAGCTGCGTCGTGATATAGCCCAATACAGAGGCGCCGCACACCCCTCATGCTTCACAGATGAAGTAATGGATCATCAAATCCCAGAAGGTTTCAAACCTATAAATATTGAATCATACGACGGCACAACAGACCCCGCAGTATGGATCGAGGATTTTCTCCTCCACATCCACATGGCCTGCAGTGACGACTTACACGCCATCAAATACCTCCCACTAAAGCTCAAGGGACCAGCGCGGCATTGGCTTAACAGCTTGCCAGCCGAGTCCATCAGCTGTTGGGAAGATCTGGAAGCCGCATTCCTCGACAACTTTCAGGGCACTTATGTGCGGCCACCAGATGCCGATGACTTGAGCCACATAATTCAACAGCCAGAAGAATCGGCCAGGCAATTCTGGACTCGGTTCCTAACAAAGAAAAATCAAATTGTCGACTGTCCAGATGCAGAGGCCCTAGCGGCTTTCAAACACAACATCCGCGATGAATGTCTAGCCCGACACCTTGGTCAGGAAAAGCCGAAATCTATGGTAGCCCTCACAACACTTGTCGGTGTCAAAACCGCCGGATCTCGGGTAGGGGGTCCCGAACTGTGCGTCTAGGCCGGATGGTAACAGGAGGCAGGGGACACGATGTTTTACCCAGGTTCGGGCCCTCTTGATGGAGGTAAAACCCTACGTCCTGCTTGATTAATATTGATGATATGGGTAGTACAAGAGTAGATCTACCACGAGATCAGAGAGCCTAAACCCTAGAAGCTAGCCTATAGTGTGATTGTATGTTATGGTTGTTTTTCTACGGACTAAAACCCTTCGGTTTATATAGACACCAGAGAGGGTTAGGGTTATACAAGGTCGGTTACAAAGGAGGAGATATCCATATCCGTATTGCCTAGCTTGCCTTGCACGCCAAGTAGAGTCCCATCCGGACACGAGACGAAGTCTTCAATCTTGTATCTTCATAGTCTAACAGTCCGGCCAATGGAGATAGTCCGGCTGTCCAGAGACCCCCTAATCCAGGACTCCCTCAGTAGCCCCTGAACCAGGCTTCAATGATGATGAGTCCGGCGCGCAGTATTGTCTTCGGCATTGCAAGGCGGGTTCCTTCTCCGAATACATCACAGAAGAATTTAAATACGAGGATAGTGTCCGACCCTGCAAAATAAGTTCCACATTCCACCGTAGAGAGAATAATATTTTCGCAGATCTAATTTGCTATCTTGTTTTGGCAGTATGACGTTACGTCATGGCCTGGTGATTATTCGAACCGTTTCTTTTAACCAGCCCCGCACATAACGCGAGGCAGTTTTTCGACATGTCTTGCCAAAGCAGAGATCGTTTCCCCTTATTACGGGATTCTCATCAATACGAGCGTGGGTAACCCAACCGTGCCTTCAATTGTGGCGCTTGGGGGATAAGCGAGTTTTACCAGGCAAGTGGGGACGCTTCTTCGTCCGCCCATATAAAGGGATAATGATTCACCTTTCTATCCACGACTTCTTCCTCCTTTGCTCATCTGTTTTCGCACACTCGAGCTCTAGCGCCCAAGTCCACACTTCCCACCTCAACCTTCTCCATCCATGTCCGGAGCGGGAGGCAGGTGGATGGTCTCCTCCGTCACGGAGGGAGACATCAAGAAACTGAGGAGAGCCGGATACCTGCCCGACGATATCGCGCACCGGCTCCCAGATGAGGGGCAGCTCATCCCCACCCCCAGGCCCCATGAGAGGGTATGGCCCCGAAATTCATCCTCAACATCTCGGCGTTTATTGTTGTGTGCGAGGCCCTCCTCCGCATCAAGCCCCACTTCGGCTTATGGCTGAAGACCTTCAATGTCAAGCCGAAGGTGGTGGGCGGCCGCCAGGCGGATTGCGGAGGCGCCATGGTGGGCAAGATTCCCAACGTAACATGGCTCGAGGGCTCCTTTGTGGAAACCATAAAGGGGTGGCAATCAGGGTGGTTCTATATCACCGAGCCGCGCGACCCTGCATGGGCAGCGGCCCCCGAGTTCCGATCTGGCATCCCCACGCGGCTCACCTCCTGGAAAGAGAAGGGCCTGTCCTGGGGTAGTTCGAAAGAGCTGACCAGACTCCAAGCATGTATTCAAAACATGTTGGACAAGAAGCT